CTTTTTTTTTTCTATGGATGTAAATTTTTTTTATAGATATATTGACTTGTGTAATTGATAACTAATTTTTGTATAAAATTATCAATATTATTAAGAATGGATATACCATTTTAACTCTGTTTTCTTCTTGTTCATTTTAAAATTTTTCTTTCTTTTTTTGTTTTATGGATGTAAATTTTTTTTATAGATATGTTAACTTGTGTAATTGATAATTAATTTTTGTATAAAATTATCAATATTATTATTAACGTATATTAATTTTTAATTAAAAATTTAATTTTTACTATTGAATTTCAATCATTATATCATTATTGAGTATCAATAATAATGATAACAATAATACATTAATTACTATTATTATTATATTATTATTATATTAAAACTTAATAGTAAAAAATTATTTTTTTAATCTAACAAAAGAATTAGCATTAATCATTTAGTTGACTATTATTCTAACGCAATACTAGTAATACCAGAACTTGAGGTTTACTCAGTAACGTATACTTTTGTGAACATATGTATTAACTTGAACTCATGGAATTGTTTTGGATATCAGTGTCAGTTTCTTTTGTGTTAATGCAAATGTATTTGTGATGTGCTTTTCAATGTCAGAATTAGCATCCACATAGCTAACGCATTTATTTTTCTACTTGCATCGATTTTCCTTCTATTTGCGTACATATTTTCTCAGGCAAATGGGGTTACATTCTTGTAGTGAGATATTATAAAGTGGACGGAGGTATGTTTCTTTGCATCCCCTGAAAGAATCTCTATTTATGATAGAGACTGATGATTATGTTAATTTTAATGCGTGGATAATGAAGGAAAATGAGGTGACGGGAACAAAATCTTGGATTAAATTTTTCGAAAGAATGGTGCTATAAAGATAATCTTTTTATATTATATTTTGATACAACTTTTATATGTCATTAAATGAGTAAATACATTTAATATTATGAGTTCTACATTAATTAAAAAAATCAATCATTTTAATGACATATTAAGTTGTACAAAAATATAGAATAAAAAAGTTGTAAAAAAATCATTTCCTTTTTTTAAATTTCTATTGAGTATAACGTCTTCAACCCAGTAAGGCATCCTCCAATCGAAGAGGATTGTATCATTCCCATTTGTTTCACAGGGAATGGCAAGTGCCTGATGGTTGCTGAAGAAAGACAAGATTTCCTTTTGGACAATTATACATACACCCAAACAGTCAACACCCATCTCAACACCCAAGGCTAAAATGAGGAAGAGTAAATTTGTAATTTTACTGTTCATAAACCTTGGGTGTTGAGATGGGTGTTAATTGTTTGGGTGTATATATAATTATCCTTTCCTTTTATATGGACCCAAATGAAGAATCATGTAAGGAGATTAAGCTCGAATTCCTTGGCAGTAGAGACCGCTCAAAGTATTGGTGGTATCCTTTGACTCCATGTATGGAGAGCTTGGTATCACCATTCATAGAGGAAAAAAGATAAAATGCTAGAAGCTAGAGAAAAGGAAAGCATGGTGAAAACATAAAGGAAAACAAATTGTTATAATCTTATGTTTAGCAACCTAATCTCCTTATTTATTTATTTTTTGGTACATTACATTTGGAGTTAGTTCCTTGGTAGACACAGTGGTTTTACACTTTGATATTGAGTCAAAATTAAGATTTTTAAGTTAACATATACCAATTTGGTCAAGTTCTAGTTAGTTTTAATCTTTTGCTATTGTCTCCAATATACTTTGTCTGCTTGGTTTGGTCAATTTTAGATTTCATCTGGGGTTGCAATGAAGTGATGTAGTACACATAACAATTCGATTAAGTTCCAGTTGTGATTTTTTAAATAATTTATTATCATAATTGTTTTATTGTTTGATAATAATTTTAAAAAAATTGTTCCACGCCAATATGATTACTAATTCAAAAAATTATTTTATAGTTTAGATTGTTCTAAACTATAAAATATTAACCCTCATACAAAGAGAAAACTCTTAATATTTGAGATCTTTTCTCTCTTAGTTCAGATTATAAAATAATAAATTCTTATTAAATTATGCATAATATCAATTAAAATTAATTTAATTGTAATAAATTAATACTTTTAATGGTAAACTATGAAAAGCACTGTAAGACCATAATGCTAAGCACAACCTCAATCTTAATTATTTTTATAATTTTTAATTAAAAAATAATAATCAATGATTTGTAATTTGTTTTTATCGTGTGTCTTAAAATTTTTACATTTTTAAAGATTAATTTAATACATCTATGGTTCTCATAAAAAAAAAGGTTTATGATTTAAATATTGAAGTTAATGTTTAAAAAAATTAATTTATTTAAATACATTATATAAAACTAATGAGAGGAGTGTTCCTTAAATTTTCTCATAAAATATATAGAGGAACTAATCTT